GTTGTTAATAGCATTTATCTTGTTGCATAATGCTACAGTGTGCTGTTTGGCATCTCATCTCTGCTCAAAAAAGCATCTTACTGAGCATCTAATTGGTGCTTCTTGGGGATGCGCCGAGCAGCTGCCTACCTGGCTTTGTGCAGGTTTGGCACACCTGCAGTACTCTTTGTGTTTGGGTACAACCTATGCAGCTACCTGGGCTGCGTGAAAAAATACGGTAGGCTGGCAGACAGAATTCTGAAAATGAAGGAAAAAAACTTTGTCACTGCATATTTCCATGGAAACAAGTATAGATGTGGGAGTAGGTTTTATTTGCTTTTGGGGATATTCCACTGCCAGTGGCTATTTTTGGGGAAATTAGAATACTGGCGTGTTTTGGACCAAACCAAATTGGAGATGATGATGCTGACCCTCGTGCGTCCAGTTCTCCTGGTCAGGCTGAGCTTGCTGTGGAGAGTTCACAGTCATGAGGGTGTTGTTGTGTGCTTGCACATAGTGAATCACGGAGGCTAGATTTTCCCCAAGGTCACAGAGCAGACTGAAGATGCGGCAAACAAATAGATGAATCACTCAGAAACGAGCGTGAGGATGTCTAAAGGACTGTGTTATGTGAGAGGTCAGAGTGTAGCACTGGAGTCCATATAGAAATTCTGTGGTTTGCTTTTTTCATTAGGGAAAAGGCAAATTTTCTGTTGGGTTTTATTAATTTTAATGTTCATCAAAATCCAGTCTGGACAGACCTCGTTGTACCATGTGCAGAAATATCCACACTGTAGGCAGGGCTGTAGTGTGGCACTTAGTTTTGGGCAGGGAATGCCTTTGTGGAAGTGATGTTCAGCACCTAGAGCAAGGGGTTTCTGATCCCTGATTGGGGTCCTACCACTATTGTAACCCCATTACCAATAAGGTTAGGAGCAAGCACTGACACCAAACTGTCTCTAAGAAGCATGAGCTATTGAGTATAAAATCAACACGAATAATGCATGTTAACTCCAGTTACATTTTCAAGCTGAAGCTGAAATGCAATTACATTCCATTCATTTAATTGAAAACTGTTGTTTTTGAGCAAATGATCGGTCTTCCATGCTGTTTCAGTTTCTAAGCTGTGCTATTTATTCTAGCACAGCCTGGAAATCACAACGTGAAACTATTGAAGAACAGTGAAATATGACATTGCTGGTGACATTCTTCAGGGGGAGCAAAATGCTAAGTGTAATCAAAGAGAATAAACTGTTAGATTAAGACTGGAGATTTTAAATTGTTTTACTTTTAATTAATCTCAGGTGTTTATTAGCCCAATACTAAAAGACTCTTTCTCTTCTTCCTGTATGATTTCTACCTTGACCATGGCACGGATTTTATCGATTAGGTGTACTTCCCTCATATCTCCAGGGCAACTGCAAAAATATTCCATCCCTCCTTATTTCCCTTACAGGAGCCACCACCAAAACATAATTTTCCATGGTATAGCATTTAATGTCCTGGTCTAAATATGAGCTAATCATGCATTCCTAGATTAGTGTTGCTTAATGGTGCATTGCCAAGGAGCTTGGAGGCAGCAGGAGGAGATTTGCCACTTGCTGCTGCTCTCATCTGGGAGTGAAGGGCAGCAGGGTCAGGAGTTGGGAGCTGGCCCCTTCCTCGCTTGGTTAGGTGTATAGCCACGCATATGGAGTGTACAGGAGGTTGCACTCAGCCTGCATGGATGTAAATTACAGCCTGAGGAGAAAGGCAAAGAAGTGTTAAACCTGTGATGCCTGCCTGCAGAAGTCAGGAGAAATTAAAGAAAAATATCACACTCACAGGGGCAGAGTGATCACACATGGGCAGTCACATCACACGCACAGAGATGCAGTTGCCCAGGGCAAAGCTGCCCCTGCTGATAAAACACTGGTTAATGAGAACCTGGAGCTACCAAGCCTTCCTTGACTACATGTACAGCATCGAGAGGTAAACTCCATCAGCAGTGCTTCTGGTTAATTACAGACTAATGTCCTGCCACCCAAGTCCCACGTCACCAAAACCTCCTGGGGAAAGGAAACCATTCCACCTGAAAAGTGAGAGACTGCAATGGCACAAGGTGCCAAATAGATTTTTCTTTTCTAATGGACTGGTACCTGGGAATAAAGCCAGCTGGAGGACCTCTGGAAGGAAATCTTCCTAACACTGACCATGCTTGCAGGCAGTTTTTATGCCAGATTTAGTCTCAGGAAATATGAAAATCAGTGGACAGTTGTTTTAATATACAGCTTTGCAGCTTAAAAAGTGCTGAGTTTTTATTGAAAGAAAATGAAGATCTACCACTTCCTTGAGGTATACAGAGTCACTGTATGTAGCCAGACGATGCAAGGTCATGTGGAAAGCACAGATCAGAATCCAAGAAGTTAACAAATGTCCCATAACAAAAATCTACTCTGCAATAGAAAAATATTTACAACTATCTTTCATTTTGAAGAAGAATATGTCAACAGTTGCTGATGTTTTAATTATAGTTTTTGATGAAAGGAGAACCTGTGAGTAAACTGGGTGCTTTTCATGGGAGAACCTGAATGTGTAGTTCTCATTGTAAAGAAGGAAGGGTTTAGGATGATGGGTAGTAGACAGGGACAGATTCGGTCCTTTGCTTTGTTACTCTGCCTAAATATGAAGTTTGAGATGGTGGAGGTAGTTAAGATGATCAGAGAACCATTAGGCTAGCCTTAGGAAAGTGTCCTGTTAGTGTTCTAACAGAGATCTTTGAAAAAAGACCTCTAAAAATGAAATCGGAGGCAGGATGTGGTAGATCTTTAAAAGTCCACAAGGGAACAGACAACTTGTCCATGCAGTGCCTTTAATGCACCCCGCGTTGTGCCGTGCTAACCCAGAGGCATGTCACAGCCACCCTCAGAAACGCAGGCTCTGAAGAAGCTGCTGCCCTGAAAGCCGGCGTGGTTTGGTTGTTGACTTCAATGCGAACAAGACGTACAGGAAACTCCCTTTTCCTTGCTCTGAACATTTAGCCCTTAAGTGAAGTGGAATTAATACCATTGTGCTGAGTGGCTTGAATCTAGCACAACTGGAGCAGAAGTCAATTTGCTGTATTTGAAAGAAAATTAATTAAGGCCTCGTTTGTTTCCCTCAGAGAGAAAAGCTCTGGGTAGTTTCCAGGAGAGGATTTTCTTGCAGGCTCCTTCGGTTCAGGCCTCTCCGTACATGACATGCGTTGCATGGCTCCAAGCCCCGCATCCCTAGGGGCTCTGGGGCTGCGAGCTGGGCCTTGCTGCAGCACCCTGCTGGCCGTGAGCTTCTCTTTCTGCATCCTTTCTGAACAGCTGGAGCGCCTGCCCTGAGTATGAAGAAACGAGCAGTGCCCTGCTGAACATGAAGAGTGTCTGTAGGATCCACCATGGGGTCCAGGCCGTGTTTCCTCAGGCTGGGGCTGCCAGTGGGACTGTGACCGCTGGCCTGGGGATGAGTTCCTGCTTCAATCGCTGTGACCTGCCTGTGGTGTCAGCTGCCCATGGGCTTCATGTGCTCAGCTAGTGAAAGCAAAATGCTTTGGGAAAAGTGCCCTCCTGTGCTCTGTATGGTGCAGCTCAGAGCCCTGGGCACTCATCAGCCACCTGGCTGCCCAGCACCATGCTGCCTCAGCTGGTATCAAACCATGGGTGTGAGGGGGCTGCTGGGGGACACGGACCTTCCCCAAGGCCAGGGGCAGGTGCTTCCTGTTGAATTCATAGAATCATAGAACATCCTGAGTTGGAAGGGACCCTTAAGGATCATCAAGTCCAACTCTTGACACCGCACAGGTCTACCCAAAAGTTCAGACCATGTGACTAAGCGCACAGTCCAATCTCTTCTTAAATTCCTCTGGAGCATTGGCTGCTGGCTGAAAAAATGCCTTTACCATAGTCAGGGACTGGAACAGGTGTCCTGGTGAGGTGGTTAATGCCCTGGACAAGCCAGCAGACATGAGGTGTTTGGACAGTGCCCTCAGTAACGTGCTTTAACTTCTGGGTAGCCCCGAGGTGGTCAGGGAGCTGGACTCCATGATCTTTGAGGGTCCCTTCCAAATGAACTTCTCTATTCTATTCTCAGTGATCTTCCTTAGTGAAATTGGCATTATCCCTCAGTGCAGCCATTGTTTGCCTTACGCACCCTATAGCGGTGCCTGTGGATTTCCAAGCACTCTGCACCTGGCTGTAATGTAATGTCATTTTCAAGGTCCCTTCCAACCAAACTACTCCTTTTCTTTTTCTTTTCTTTTCTTTTCTTTTCTTTTCTTTTCTTTTCTTTTCTTTTCTTTTCTTTTCTTTTCTTTTCTTTTCTTTTCTTTTCTTTTCTTTTCTTTTCTTTTCTTTTCTTTTCTTTTCTTTTCTTTTCTTTTCTTTTCTTTTCTTTTCTTTTTTCTTTTCTTTCTCTTTTATTTTCTTTCCAATTTCTTTTGTATTCCATTTCTTTTCTATTCTATTTCTTCTCTACTCTCTTCTGTTCTAGTCCATTCTATTCCATTTCATTCTGTTCTGTTCTAATTCTATTCCATTCCGTTGCATTCTGTTCAATTCTATTGTGTTTTTTTGTTGTTGTTGTTTTTTTTCCCATTCCATTCCATTCCATTCCATTCCATTCCATTCCAATTGGTTCTATTCTATTTTATTCTATTCCTATTCCTATTCCTATTCCTATTCCTATTCCTATTCCTATTCCTATTCCTATTCCTATTCCTATTCCTATTCCTATTCCTATTCCTATTCCTATTCCTATTCCTATTCCTATTCCTATTCCTATTCCTATTCATCAATCCACTCCACTCCACTCCGACGCTGGAAATAGCTGTGCCGATGCAGCGTAGCAACTCCTCCTGAAAAAAAAAAATAAATTAGTTTATAAAAAATAATAATAATAAAAACCCACAAGCCCCAACCCCCGGCGGAGCAGAGCGCGCGCGGCCCCTTTAAGCCCTTGTCCCCGCCCGCTGGGCGCGGGGCGGGCCGTGTGGCGCGGCGGCGCGCGGCGGCGGCGGGGCGGGACCTGGCGGCGGCGGCGGCGGCGTCGTGGTCGCGGGTCGGCGGCTCCGGGACTCGCGGCCGCCCAGCGCCAGCCCCAGCCCCAGCCCCGCGCCCGGTGGGCGGGGCCGGGAGCAGGACCGGGAGCGGGAGCGGTGGCCGTGCTCCGTCCTTCGTCCCGCGGCGGGAGCTGCTGCCGGAGGGCAGGTGGGGGCGCGCGGCTGGGATTCACCGCGGAAAGGGGGGCGCGGGGAGGGCAGCGGGGGGAAAAGTTGTGAACGGGGGGCGCATGGGTCTCCTCCTCCTCCTCCGCCTCCTCCTCCTCCTCCTCGGCCGGACTGTGCGGGGAGGGCAGTGCCTGCCCTTCAGCAGGCGCTCCGGTGCCTCTCCCCTTTTGTTCTCCCCCGCAGCCCCCCGAGGTGCTGTGCAGAGGGGGCTCCCCCCGGCCGGGACCTGCCCCGGCACAGCTCTGTTCCCACTGGCAGCGCTGCGGGGCACGCTCCTGCCTGGTTATAACCCGCGTGGTGCTGCCGGTCAGGGCTTGGTGAGCGGAGCTCCGGGAAGAAAATAAACTTCTTCCTCTCCTGGAGACTGCTCTGCCCTCCGCAAGCCGCTCGTTACATAAACGGGTGTTTTATGGAGCGGCAGGGAGGGGAGTGCTGCCTGGAAGGAGGCAGGTTTCTGTAAGGGGGGGCTGGAATGAAGGCAGTGTGCCTGGAAGACCCGTAATGTAATCTGGCTGCCTCTCTGGCCGGCTTTTAAAGCCGAAGGTGGCTGTCATCGCCTGGTGGTATTGCAGCTCCTGGCAGAGCAGGGTAGCACATGACAGCGAAGCCACAGCCTCATCCTGGAGCAGTCCCTGCAAAAACCCGGTCGTCCCCGGGCTGCTGCTTTCACAGCTTTTAGCATATGCAGATGTTTCAAAGCCTGGGAAAGTAATGACCTGCAAGCTGAAATTTCCCAGCTGCCTTACGGTAGGTAGCGGGGGGATTTGGTTCTGCCACCTTCTCTCTGCTGTCATGCAAATCGGCCACCTGTGGTCTTTGGGGAGGGCTGGGTGTCCTTGAGCTGCTGAAACAGCTCCCAGGCAGCTCCCAGCAGCGTGTGAAGGTTGCTGGAGCTCACGGGAGCTGCTGGGGGAACCGGCAAGCAGCGGGTGCCGAAGTCGCTGGAGGTTTGTCCTGCCCGCAGCGTAGTGGTTTTGATGGGATTAGTTCTGTCTTCTGATCACGCCTGCTTCCAGCTGCTTTATTCCTGCCTGGAGAGCTGCTTCGGCTTGCAGCAAGAGCAATCTGTAGTGGTCATAACCTCAGCTCCTTCGCCGTGCAGCCCCTTAACTGCTTGGGTTTCTGTCTGCGGCTGTTCCCCTTGCATCACTTCTCCTTTTTTATCACCGTATTTGCTCATACCACACCTACCAGCTGCCCCGCCACCCAGATGCGTCTCTTGTTCTGCTTTTGTGAGGAAACAGATAAAAGCTGCCAGCCCCCGTCAGCGCAGGCAGGTTTCACACAGCACCCACAGTCTGTGTCAGGCCACCGCTGTCTTTTTTTATTTTTCCTCCTTTCTTCCTTTGTATTTGTTCTCGCTAATCTCCTATCTTCCCAGAGCAGCCTGCAAGGATCTGCGTGAAAGGTCAGTTTCTCGCAAGTCTCCTTCCTCCTGTGTTTTCCAGCCCTCTTCCTGCCGAGCTCCCTGCCAGCTGCAGGGGCTGCCCGTGGCTGCTGAGCCCCGGTAGGCTGCAGCAGGCAGCTGATCCCAGCTCATTGGGCTTCTGCAGGCTGCTCTCCTGAAAGATTTGGGGGCAGGGGGCAGCGGGGGTGGATTTCTGCTTCAGGAGCATGTGAGTAGAGACACGCAGGCCTTTCTTAGAGCAGGAAAGGGGAAGACTTAATGCATGTGTAGCAAAGATGTTTGCTCGTAGTGCGGTATCAGTCGCGGGGGATTTCTCTTGCCAGAAATACAGTAGTCTCTAATTATGTTTATCCAACCGTCGTGACAAGTGTCAGGTCTCTTGAAATGCCATCGTACACATTTAATCTGTTTTGAAGCTGCTCTGGGTGCAAATGGAATTATTCCAGGTGCAGTGATTGAACCCCCAGCGCAGGGGTAGTAGCTGGGGACAGGTAGATGGCTTCAAAGAAGTGCTCTCTGTCTTTCAGTCCTTCTGGGTAATTCTCCAGGCTTTGCCTTTCTGTAGTCATGTAGCATTTTCCTGGACTCTGCTAGCAGGCTTCTTTGCTGAACAGAAAGGTGATCGTAAGCTTAAGCAGTGGAGACGCTTGGTATAAATTTCAGGAAGCGAGCTTTTGTGTACAGCAAGAAATACTTGCACCAGCGTTTGTGTGCTGTTTGCTTTGGTACCAGCACTGGAAACTGGTGCTCTCTCGCAGGAAGCGTGGTGTTTTCACTCTGTGGTGCAGGCTGCAGGCAGGGTGTTTTCAGAGATAGCCGAGTGATGCTAATAAAGAGAATTTTTCTTGTGGTAATGCCCAAAGCATGCTTTGGCATGACCCATGCCTTTTTTTTCCCTCTGAAGGCTCCCAAAGACCAGTGACAGCCTGGCCTATTGTTTGCTTCCTAATATATTTGCTTCAAACTGATGGTATTTGTGATAATTCAAGGCAGTTTAATAAGGAGGATCATGCTGTAGAAGAGCTGCAGGATCAGAAGTTGGAGGTATAAAACTCCTACCTCTTGCCCTTGGCTTCCACTGCCCCCTTCCCCCAGCTTCTGGCTTTCCCTGCTGAAGCTCTGAACAATGGGCAGGCCCGGAAAGTGGAGCACGCACTGAGAACCTTCTCCACGGCAAAAAGGATCAATGTGTCTCGTGTCACTCTGGTGATTCCCCAAGGGAAACGGCGAGCCTGGCAGCCAGCCCACCCAGCCGTAAATTTGCTTCCCAGTTGCAAGCGGGCAGTAAGTGGAAGGGGACGTTCGTCCCCTCCGCAGCCGTAACCTGCTAGGCAAGGTGAAACGCGGCCTTTGGAGATGGTAGGAGCAGGGAAAAGGGGAGCTGCCTTCTGGAAGCCTTTGGGGGAAACACTGCATCGTATTCATGCTGTGAACTAGAACGGCTTTTGGTCCGGCGATGTGAACTCGTTGCTCTGTGAATGACTTTTCCTCGTAGATGCTTGAACTTGCTAGGCTGAAGTGTGCTCCGTTTTAACCTCCTGCTCAGAAGTGAACTGGGTTTAATGCCGTCTCTGTCCTCAGCTTACACTGCTTCAAAATGGTTCTGGATTTTTGTTTAAACTTTAAAACTGTTTATGTTTTCTCTCAACTCATTTTCCTTTTGGTTTGTAGTTAAACGTTTCTGTGGTTTGCTGCTGCTCCTGGTTGTCTCTTGCATTGGTTTAATGGGGCTTTGTAATAAAGTGAGTGGGAATTGAAAGAGTCTGTGATCAAAACCAAGTTTGAATCTTGCCTGGGGATGAAGATAGGTGAACAAAGAAAATTGCTCTGGAATACTGGATCACTCTGCAGGACTGTAAGGGAATGTATCTTTTAAGAGGGAAATCCTGTTTATGCTATGGTCTTAAAAAAAATAAAAAAGATCTGATTTTTTTAAGAGAGCTTGAGAGAGTGATGTTCTTATGCTGTAAATAAAATACAGGCCTTTCAATAGATTTGTACCTTGTCTCATTTTCAGCAGTAGCTGTTAAGGTAGCTGCATTTGAAAGGAGTTGTAACTTGGATATCTAGTTCTAAATGTATAGATTAATTAAATGCTTGAATGTCCTTAACCCATTTAAAACGTTCATGATTTTTTTCTTTGTAAATAACTTCTGAAAAGTTCTCAAGGAATAGATCCTGAAGCAGCCTGCCCTGATACAATCGCATTAAAACCTCTTTAATTGGGGGGGGGGGGGGGGGGGGGAGTGTATGGTGGGTGTGTGTTGCTCTCGAATGATCCCAGATGTGAAAGAAAACTGATGTTCAGTGAAGAAGACTTACAGTAATTTGTCATCCTGTGCTGTGTGTGGGTACATCATACTTGAAAGCTGAGGCAGAAACTGCTGCAAAAATAGCCAGTATAGGTTTTCCCTCAGTGTCGGTACGTGGCCTGAGGAGAACCCCTTCTGCACCGCGACACGGGCCTGCGAGGGCGACTGACGTCTGTGCCTGAAAAAGAGAAGTGCAGAAAGTCCAGAGCAACCCTCTGGGGATGTAAAACTTTCACTCTGAGGGTGTAAAACCTTCGCTTGCCCACCTGCTGCTGCGTGTGCCACCGATGGCCCAGTGGCTGCATGTGGGGGGGACGATGCTTTGAACCCAGCTCCTCTCCAAGGCCCCTCGCTCCTTTTGAAGGTGCAGAAGGGGCATCCTGCTTGCTTCAGGGGATGAAGGCTCCTGCTTCTCCTGTAATTGAAATCTTACGGCATGTCCTTATAAAACTACAGCATTTTTGCAAAGAGCTGTGTGATCCTGAAATGCTGCAAGCTGCTTCTCTGATGTGCGACAAAAAATATGCTGGAAATTCATCGTAGGATTTGAGAGCAGAGGCTGTAAAACCATACAACTCTGCTAATAGAGATCTGTTCTTTTTTGTGGGTGTGGGGAGCTGGGTTGTATGATCGGGGGTGTGTGTTTTGGTAAGCTTATGATAATTCGAGTGAGAGACACAAAGAGGAGCTTGCTTTTAATTTCATTAGCTGCGGGACCAGCTCCAGTCAGCTGCTGGTTTGCTGCTTGACTGTCTTGCAGGACTGGCATGCTTCTGAAAATCACTAAGTTGACATTTAAATAATGTCACGTTTCATTAAATAATGGGACGTTTAACAAACAAGAGCTGTAAGCAGGCGAGGCAGAAATTGCTTCTCCCAGCCGCAGAGCTTTTACTTTCACTTTTGGACACTCAGCTCGCCCAGTTTGCCGTCAGAGGCTGTGCTTTCCACAGCAGAGAAAGTTTCCTGGTTGCCTTACTTGTAACCACCTTTTCTTTTCACCTCTCTGAAATGTTAGTATTAATCCTAAAATAAAAGGGTGGGGGGATAAGACACTGTAAGTTACACCTGTGTTTTTCTGGTTCCACAGAAGTAAATATCCTTTCTCCTATGCTTGTTTGGGAAGTACGTGCAATTTGTGGTCGCTCCTTTTTTTATTTGTGAAGGTGTGTGTGTGTATCTGGTAGCTGGACTTGATGCAGTTCTACTTTGTGTATTTTGGGTAACTTTTCTCAGAAGTTTGTCCCATCAAAAAAAATTCATGAAGCTCGGGTACTGCTGAAAAACTTCTTTCAGTAACTCTCTGCTGTGCTTGAAACCATGATCCATTCCCATCCTGAGGTTTTTAAATGGGTTGTGTGCAGGTGGTGTTGGATGTTCTTTGTGTATAACTTGTGCCGTAAATCTCAAACCCAGGTAAGAATTTTGTGGGTAATGCCTGAATCAAGCATATCTGCGTGCCTGTGTCCTAAAAACATAATAGAACTGCTTCTACCCACCGCTTTGAGACTCTTTTATGTGCCAGGGCTGCTCTTATCCCTTATGTATATATTCATAGCTGATGCTTACTTTTTTTGTGCATTCCTAGGTGTGCGAATCAACCTATCATCACGGAATCGTCACTTTTATCATACTGACTTGACAACGGTTGGATGCCAGCTCGTGTCAACACCAGGTAAGATGAAAGTTAATGTGCTTACTTGTTTTTTCCTCTTTGCTTTTTAAACTTTTGTCCAAACGCTGGTGACTTTTCCCTAGAGTAAAGTCACACTGTGCTGCCTTCCATATTGCTCTTCTGTGACGACACATCCGCGTGTTGCTAGCGGATGCTAGTTCCTGTTTTGAAATCTAGTGCTCTGAAATGCCTTATTAGGAACCGACTCCTTTATAGCCATAACTCAGCCTTTTTCCTGATACCTCTGTAACCTGTTCTTTATGCTGTTTGGCTATCACAAGTATCACAAGATGTTTTTTTCCTTGGTGTTCTTTACCCCTTACCACTCCTTGGCGGTGTTCTAGAAGCTGTTGACCTCCTTTGTCTTCTAGAGTTAACCGTGCATGATAAGCCACCTGTCTTATCTGATCTTTTCTGTAGAATAAAAAATTATTTTTTTTGTGTGTGTGCCTGCTTCCAAATGCTATCCTTGAAAAGACACCACAGAAAGATATTTTATTTTTTATTTTTTTTTGTGAATCAGTGGCAAGAAACTACCTGGATATGTCTTTCAAGTAATTAAATATCAAGCTGTTCTTCGGACCTTACAATTTGGACTCTTTTTTTAAGAGAAGGGATGTATATTGAGCAGGGGGGAGTAAATCCCTCTAATGCTTTCAACAAGGTTATTATTCAGTACTCTAGGAGAGTCCTGGTGCTGATGGAACTAATGTGAGCCTTTGTCCTGATGCTAATCAGAATAGGGATAATTCCTCCTGTTCCCCCTTCATCCCCCAGATCCTGCTAGCAGTGGTGAGGCATTAAGTTCCTCTGCTGCCTCTTGCTGTGCTGGCCTGTTGTCCTTGTTTCCTGCAGCAGCTACCTTGAGTGCAAAGGCTTAACTTGAGTTTTGAGGGGTCTCGCTAGGAGTGCTCGTTGAAATCTTCAGAGATTTTCTGGATGCTCCCAAGAGGTACTTGCACACTTCACTTAAAGGCACGTCTTGGTGGATGTGTGTGCTTATTTTTCATATCGTTGTGTGAGAAAATAGCTTTTCATTGATGAAAGATGCATTGGGCTTGAAGGTAGCGGCATCCTTTGCTACATGTTGGGACATGCGACTGAAAAAATGCAAGTAGGCACGTAGGTGAAACTTAGAAGGCATTCTTCCTTTTGTCTCTTTCCTCCTTCCTTGGCAAGAGCAAACAGGTATTGTTTCTCACATGTTTTTAAAAACCCTTAAGGAGACTAACTTTTGATCATGACTCCAAAGGCCTCTAAGTCTTTCTAGGAGGAATGTATATGCAAGCTATGTATTGTTTTATTTTACATATTATGTATTTTATGTTTATTTATGTTTATGCCAATGATCTCCTCCCAGTCTAAAGATTACCTGCATGGCAGTAGAGAGAAGAACTAATATGTTAAGCATATAGTGATATATGACTTAGCATTTAACAGAAAAATAGTTTACTAAAAAACATGCCTTTTCACCAACTTCTGTTTGTGGCTACGGGCAGGAGGTTGTAATGAAGACACTGGATAGGGCTTGTGTTGGAAGGTCAGACAAAGGCATTAGGAAAATACCTTGCAGATCAAGAAAGGAAGGGTTGAAGTGTACCCAGTTAGCCTCTTTAGCCTTTCCTCAGCAGTACAAAGCTGAGGGGAAGATCATCTTTGTGCTTGTAAAAGCAGGTCTCCTAGCACAGCTGCTTGGTTTGTGATAGCGGGTTCTCTGGGGATAGCTGGTGACAATCCTCAGTGGATAATCTGTCCTGAGTCCGGCTGAGCTGGCCTTCTGGTGAATTTGTAAGGGGGTTTGCTGTCTTTCACTAGGGACTGTTCTCCCTGCAGGGTGTTTTGAGACCCTCTTTAGTGTCAGCATTGAACAGCGGGACAGGAGGGATTTAGACGGGCTAAAGAGCTTCCCCGGAAGACAGAAACTGAGTGCACCCGCTCAGCTAGCAGATGTGTATCAGCCCGATGTTCTGTTTTGATGGAGCATTTTTCTTACATGCAGAATTGGAAAGGCATGAAGTGATGATATAAAAATCTGTATGCATAGCCCAAAAACTTGCGGTTTGAAATGTCTAGGTAAGCTGAACTCAAAGTGTGTGAAAGAGTACTGGGGAGGAGAGAGAAAAGCATCTTCTGATGGGGCCTATCTGAGGAGACTGATTTAAACCGTTTGGGGCTGGGAGTCCAGAGCCAAAACTTCTTGCTAGTGACTGTACACAGGTGAGGAGCCCAGTGTCTCCCTGAAGTGAACTTGCATGGAAGCATTAGCTGCAGGAAGGGGTTTATGAGCACTTTTGAACAGGAATTTTTCGTTGATTCTGATGCACATGTGTGGCTGGGCTTTATCTTTTTTTCCTTTGCTCTCAGTTGGCCTTTGCAGGGCATTTCCTGTGAGCGCGAGCCCTGTGCTTACAGATAGCAATCTATCACTTCTCAGCGTAATGTTGGTCTTGTACGATACAGAACAGTCATCCTGAAATGGGGTGGAGGTGTGTGAGAGAGAAGGAACTTGAGGCTGCAGTGCAGAAGACAGGATTCCTCTTTCTTGTTATTTTTACCCTGTGAAGTGAGAACAGAAGGGAGATTGCAGAAGCATTTCTGAACAGACCTTGTTCAGAGTTTCCCATAGGGCCTCGTATGCTCTCTAGCCTGCACTTACATGTCTTTCCCCCCGTGTCTGCTCTGTCAGCGTGGGATATGGGAAGCCTAACACCCGGGTGTGTGTATCAGTGCTGGCTGCTCTGCTGTGGGCTGGTGCACACCAGCATCCCTCCATGCATACCTACAGACTCTTCTTGGTTTTTAATTTTTCATCTGTATTTATCCCTTAGTGGGAAGCTAGAGTTTTTAATTAGCATAGTTTAGCCATTAACTAACACATCAAGGGTCAACGTGGGTGGCGATATGTCTCACCTCACCTCTGGGTGGGAGGTGGGACTCAGCACAACATGAGGGTGGTATTTCCCCTTTGATTTGGGTAGGGAGTCGTGCTTCTGACTTGTATGCTCCCTAAAACAAGCTGTGGTGAGGTGACCTGGGTTCACATGAGATGTATAGCTTGACTTGATTCTCCTGTACAAGGGTGGGACCTTCATATGAAGGTTCTTGGGGGAATGGGTGTCACCCATGTCCTTGCTGTGTCTGCTCACAGAAATCAGCAGTGTGGTTGGTCTGCCATTCACTGGTCCGAATCCTCTCTTTTTTTCCAACAGGAAGGGCTCTGCGGTGAGGTAAAAAGCAGACTTCTCTGGTTCAGCAAATCTGTCATAAAAGTTGCAAGAAAAGACAACTGTTTGTTAATGAGCATCATAGTTATTGGTGTGTAACTTATAGAGAGGGGTTTTGGGAGCAGAAACTCACCTCTATATTGGTAGAGCAGCAGTTTTATGGCAGCGAGAGTCTGGGAGGAAGCCGTTGATGTGAAATATTCATCTGAAAAACAGCTTGTTACAGAAACCTGTTGTAGTAAATCTCCTGTTTGAGAGGTATGTCACCTGAAGATAGGTCTGTTGCAGTGTAGGTTGAAACCTGTCATTGCCTCTTTTTTAATATGGATGACTTGCAGGAGGTGTTTGTTAGATTCTTCAGAAAAACTTGGGCTCTTTTGAACTAAAACGAGGCTGCCTTGCATAATGTGTGAAGTTGAACAGGAAGATGGGAAAGTAGCTGTGTATACACACAAGACTTTTGAAAGGGACTGAACTCTGAAATTGGAAGAAATTGAAGCATTTGAACCACTGAATGTCAAACAGTTGGCACTCATGCTTCTGGATTCTCTCAACCTGGATGTGAAGGTAATGCCTGGGTGTGCGCTGCCTTTTGTAAGTCCCTCTCTGTTGCCCTGCTTGCTCTGCATACCTGTGCCCATTCTTCTCTGCCATCTCCAGCACAGTGCTAATGTATTGGTAGGTGCTGACTGAAGAGGAGGATTTGAATCAGAAATGCTGCTTTTTGCAGAATTGTGCATTTGCTGCAGCCTCTCCAGGTGTTGCTCCAGACAAGCCTTACTGAATTTAAGATGTGATTCTCTGAGGTACTTAGTGACAAGGAACCGTATTTGCTAAAGCAAGCTGGTATGTAACAGTCCTCCAGTGTGCATGTGACTGTGGCATAACAGGTTCCTGCTGTCTCAAGTGTACCTTGTTATGTGTTTTTTTTTTTTATTGCAAGTGTTTAACAGGCTCCGAGTACATAGAGGAATTTTGCACCACCTTTCTATGTAAAGTGGTACTTCAAGCTATTGAGAGATATTATTTGGCTTAGGCAATAAAGCACCTTAACAAGGACAAGCACGTATCCTGAATTCTGTGTGGGTACAGACGTAGGTGCTGTACAGCACCTCACAGAAGTTCAAAGCATCACCACTTTATTGACTTTCAGAACTTCATGCTAGGCGCTCAGTTCATATAACGCCCACAGGTGGGAGATTTTATAGGATGGGTGCAGTAAGGAGTGCAGAGTTTCTTCTTCTGTCGTTCAAGACATGAAGAACAATATTAAATGTAAAATCAATAAATTCTATCTATTTTGTTTCCTCTAGGACTCATGATCATCTTAGCATTCCTTCTGTGTCCTTTTCGGATACGGAGCCGAAATTGTTGTACGTGATGGTAGTAGAATTTGCTGTAAGTGTAGCAGGCAGCCTGTTTTTCAAGTAGAGGCAACTTTTTGGAGAAGGGTGAGGCTAAGGAGGAGCTGATAAGATACTTTAAACAGGCCTTTTGAAGCTGGCTTAACTCATTAGTTATGCTGGGATGAGCCCATGAATTCAGTAGTGTTATTTCAGGCCTGCGCCGTGAAGGCGATTGTTACACTCTGTATGTGATGCGTGAAAGACTGCTGTGGAAATGCTCTCTCCTTTTCAGAGAAGAGAAATAAAATAAGAATATTGGAAATAGAGTACATGGAGTCCCTTGGTGAGTGTGCTCAGCAGTAGGTGATGCTGGGCCTGCCACCCAGGAATTGCTTGCTGAGGAGGGTATTTAAGTTGCAGTGACTTTGAA